AACAGTGATTTATATACTTTAGATATCCCCTGGCCTGGGGAAGAAGAGGAACCATTATCAGAGAATGCTAAGTCAGCCATTGATGCACTGCTGATAATGGACCCAAAAGAAAGACCCAAAGACAGAGGTATATTACGTGTAGCAACAGTATACAGACATACATGTATAAGATCAGCAAATTGAGGAAGAAATATTTTCTTTTCACTGAAATGAAAATTTCTATGTATCATGTGTTCTGTTAATGTAAAAATGTTTAGTTAGGATTTTTGTGAATTAGCTTTGCAAAATTTATTAAAGATAGCTCACAGACAAATGCTTCATTACACAGAAATCTCTAAATTGTACCTCTCTGGTAAAAAAGAAGGATCTGTAGCTTAGATAACACCACATTAATGGGGAAAATTACACTCAATGTATATTGTGTCATTGTTTACATAGGATGACTTTTGTTAAAATAAAAGACTGTATCACTGTTCATATATCACAAGTAATATGTGCATTAAAGTTGTGAAAAGTGTAGAAATAAATCACTCATTATTCAGTATGCTCCATTACAGAGGTGAGGAAGCTGGCCTTCTTTGACTCGGTAGACTGGGAGAACCTGCTGGAGGTGGAGCCCCCATTTGTCCCCCAACCTGAGGGGGACGAAGACACAACATACTTCGAAGGTCAGTATTACATAATAAACTTAATAAATAACTGGAGGTGGAGCCCCCATTTGTCCCCCAACCTAAGGGCGACGAGGACACTACGTACTTTGAAGGTCAGTATAATATAATAACATACAACTGCTGGAGGTGGAGCCCCCATTTGTCCCCCAACCTGAGGGGGACGAGGACACAATGTACTTGGAAGGTCAGTATAATATAATAATAAATAACATACAACTACTGGAGGTGGAGCCCCCATTTGTCCCCCATCCTGAGGGGGATGAAGACACAACATACTTTTAAGGTCAGTAGGCTTAATAAACTCTGTAAAAATAACTCACAGCCTTTTGAGTGAAAGTTTGATTTTAATTATAATAATGACTGCAGAATCATATGTTATACAGATATAAGAAAGGTATAATAGAGGCTTTTGTGTTATGATTATTCATTATAATATACTGATGCCACAGAGTTACTGAGAGTTTAGTATTAATTGCAATGTTGGTGATTAAATTCTCCAGATAATGTACTACACTTAGTGCAATATAATATTACTCAAATATATCATTGTTTTACCAAAAAATGTTGTAACAAAGTTACTGAGATTGTAGAAATTTAATCATATGATGCAGTTTAAATATTTTTGTGAGAAATTCGAAAATCCAAAAGGTTGAAGTATTTTCTTTCATACACTGAAGATGACACTGATTTCATGGAAAAATTCTATTTTTATACATTTTTTTCCATCATTTTTTTGCAGCAAGGAACTCTCAACAACAGCTGATGGTGTCAGGTATAGATCTATGACAAAGAAACAGTAATGTACACAGTTATAGGATGGTGCTGGTGTAGATCTCGGAAAAATTCACAAAGACTTTTATATATAGAATATACAGTAATGTACACACTATATAGCATGGTGCTGGATGTTGGAAATAGACAACAGGAAATGTGATATTATTATTTAGTATACTACATTTTACAAAATTAATGTATATGATGATATTATTTAGAGCACAAGGCTTAGGCATTGTTGCTTCTCTCTTATGTTTGTTTGATATTAACGGCTACATATGAACAAGTTTGTAACATTTGATTCGAATTACTGGGTTATTTAGTTTTTGTTTGAGTGATGAACAGTAAAAATTTACCTGTTAGAAATATTACATCTATTAGGGATCTGTTTTGCATTAAAAAAAATTAACAAAGCTTCTGTTTTAATACAAATGAATTTTTATGGTTTTCTTAAAAATATTGTATTATTTTTAAAAAGCCTGTATTTAGTATTTGTGAATAGTTTTAATCACTTCACATTTAATGCATAGTCTCTCAAAAAATTAATAAACTATCAAATTATATTATTTACAGATTTTCAAGATCACATAACTTGATTAGTATGAATTGGTCAAGAATAAATTCAGAAATGCTGCTAAAACAGCCCAATAGACAACTTTTTGATAGGAGAAGTAAAGGAGAGCAAATTCGTTTATTTCTACTTAGTATCTGTATCACTAGTATACTTTCTTGTAATATTTATAAAGCTACATATTAATCAGAAATTTCTAGTCATATTTTAGACATAATCTACTTATTAGTACTTGTAAACTGTAAATCATGATATTTATTTCTTCAAGATAGTTATTTTCAATATTTTGTAAACAAAACATTTTCACTACTGTTATATATCTTTTACCTTGAGGTGTGCACACTCATATGTGAAATAAAATATTGTTATTAGATCAGCTATCAAATAAAATCATCTTCAGTATATTTTTTTTATTTTATCAAGATGTACAATTATGACTACCAATGAACAAGTTTATATCAAGAATTTAATTTCAAACTAGAGACAGTCCTTTTTCTGTTGATCTCCTCTCGACTGACCGTTGGTCGATCGTTTACGACATCAATGCAAGTGACTATGCATTGCTTAGAAAACAAAACACACAAACTTCTATAGCTGATGTGGATAAACTATATAAATCATACACATAACATTTCAATTCAGTATAATATTTATTTCTGCAAGTCTAGAAAATCATGTCTGTTAGACAGTATCACTATATTTTACTACTAAATTCAGGGATCCCTTCCTGGAAATTCGTGTTTATTTACCTCCCGCTTGAAAATCAGGAGCGAAAATAGTAATCGATATGGGCACCCGTTTGTCTGTCTGTTACGCTTTAGGGTACCCATCTCTTATCCGCATAACCACGGAATGAAATTCAATGAAACTTTCACAGAATCTTGATAACATATTGCCATTGTGCACCTTTTATTTTACTTTTTGATCCGACACGTTTTGGGTTTCTAACGACAAAACATGAGGTACCCGAAAAGCGTAACAGATGTACGGACACCCCGATCACTATATACCCTCCCACTTTTCAAGCGAGGGTAAATAATCTAAAAGCAAAGACAATTGAAAAAGGCATATCATATAACCCTGAAATAGGGAGTAATTAATATGTTCATCGAAAAGACTCAACATTTACAGTGCCGTCGTTTGTTGGAATAGAAAGGGGGAGTTCTGTCGATAGCTTTTTCATTGCGCCCAAAAAATTCCAACTTCCTAAACAATACGTTCAATTTTTTAGGTACTCACCTCATTTCATCTGGATGAATAAAGTTTCGTAGACTACCATGTTTGATACAATCGTTTGTTAAAAAGTTATATATTTCTGAAAATTATTATACTATTTCAAACTATCAATGAATTGAAAGATAGTTCAAAATGGTTTACTGGAATATTGGCAGGATTATGTAAATAGTTTTGGGTTAAGAGAATTTACAGATTTCATTTAGCGTAACGTTAAAATCAGTAACGTCGTGATAAGTCGTTACGCCAAAAGTTGTAATTATTGAAAAAAATGCACCATTTTCCCAAATCTCTGGCGAAAAAGCGGTAAGAGATAGTTAAAGAAAAAATAAAATGATTTTGAAAGGAAACATAGTGGGAATTTTTGTAAAAAACTTTTATCAGATTTAGAGACAGGGCCGCCTCGTTACATACCGTACCCAGTTCTTTATCTGTATGATCTGTTAAATCTGATCCTTAAGAGAACAACTGGTGATCAAATATTAAATGCAATGGTATGGTTATACTTCAAGTATCAATTCATAATTTTTCTTATGCTATGAAAGAAGGATATGGAGATAACGAACAGTATTCAATCTCAAAGTCCATAAAACAATACAAAATTAGAGCAGAGGAACACGGACCCCCAAAACATCAGAGTTGGGATCAGGTGCCTTGGGGGAGTGAGCATCCCCTGCTGACCGGTCACACTCGCCCTGTGCTCCTTGTCATGATCAGGAAATAACGGAAAAATCCGTCGTCAATTCAGTGTATAAATAATGGACAAACAATTGGTATGAAAAACGTCAGTCAGCATTTGACTCAATGATAAATTGTATTTGCTGACAACATTGTATCGACCATATAACTTAGGAAATGATGACTTTAAACGAGACTGCTGAAATTCTTGTTCAATCAACTTGCTTGTCAATAATTTACCTCTTTTTAAAAATTGTTCATACGTAGAGCATGCTCTTGTGTAACGAATCAACTGAGATATATATACTCCATATGCAGGTGATGAATGTATATTGCTGCATAAGTAAGGGAAGTTGACGATAGAAAAGTTAAAGTCATCGCGTTTATCATATAGTTTGGTTGTTGGAGACCAGGTATTCCAACAATCTATTGGAATTCCCATGGGTACAAATTTCGCTCCGTTATTAGCAGACTTATTTTTATATTCATATGAAGCAGAATTTTTGCAAAATCTCATGCGTGAAAAGAAGAAAACACTTGCTGTGGCCTTCAACTTGACATTTAGATATATCGACAACGTACTGTCAATTAACAATGGTAATTTCCATTCCTATGTCGATACGATATATCTTACCGTCTTTTTCAAGTAAAATATCCAAGTATGAAACAGAAGTATCAGACTGTGGGGTAACTTTTATCTCAAGCTCACCAGGATATATCCAATAGATTGTTGGAATACCTGGTCTCCAAAAACCACATAGATATTGTCAATAAGAAACTCAAGCATCTTCTTGATGTCAACTTCAGAGTACTTATGTGTGCAATCAGAATCTGTTTTAACAAAATAATTTTGCAAATGACCAAAAACGAGGTAATTTAATTTACGAGTTCTATTTCCATTGAAGAAGCTGCTGTCAATGATATCAAAAAGCCTGGATTTTAATTTGTCGTAGGGAATTGTTGTGTATAAAGTTGAAAAAGAGTAAGTTTTTAAGCTGTTGATTTTTATAAAGTCTTGTGATTTCAAATTGTCCAAGAGTTCTTTAGAATTTTTTAGCATCCACATCTGATTCACACCACTTCTTGAATATATAGTTGCACAGTTCTCTTGACGTTTTTCCTTCACTACTGTCAATATCTTATTGAGGAGTAACGAAAGAGGCTTGGTTGAACATTTACTGGAACCTGCAATGTATTTTTGTTTGTAAGGATTCTTATGAAGTTTCGGAATCCAATTTATATAAGGTAGTTCAAATTCATTTTGGCTTTGCGGAATATTAAAAGTATTCAAAACTGACACGTGATTTTGAAGAATTTTTTTCTTAGAAAGGGAAGTATGAGTATAAGTAGGATTACCATTTGTAGAATTAAAGTTCTTCTAGAATGCAATTTATATAATGAACCTTACAAACGATCAAGTAATCTATCTAATTTTTTTTTCATGTTTATTTGTTACCTGCTTTGATCTAATACATTTTATCCATTCTGACAATGTGTCAACGTCTTCTTCTTCATATCTGGCCCATCGTCTGGCGTAATTTTCAACAGAATCCATAATATTGATGAAATTCCGACGCCAGTTGAAGGATCGGGGTTCCCTATATTTAGGACCTTTTAAAATAAGTGATCTAAGGTCCTGATTACTAACTATATTTACGTCACCTGTAATAACGTGTCCAGCAGGACTATAGTTATAGGGCGAAGAAGAACATGAACACGAATGAGAATTATGTTTCAGATACTCGGAATCAAGGCATGTAAAGTGTTTTTGTAATTGAAAAGTTTGGAAGCAATGGTCGATGTATAATGGTAGGAAATACAAGGTGTAGTCTTTAACTTGAAATATGGTGGAATACAAGACTGGACCCATGATGATACACAGTATCACGGTAATCAAACTCACAATACCATGATTACAAATTAGAATCAGAGCAAACACGAGCATGTGGATCATGTGCAATGTCAAACTCACAATGTCAAGGGTTTGTGATTTCTCGTACTCCCGTGTGGAGTTTGATAAATCACAAAGACTTGACATTGTGAGAATTGTGCAATGTAGGAGTAAGCATCCCCTGTCAACTGGTCACACCGCAATGTGTACCTTGTCATAATCCGGCAAAAATATAAATAAAGATATCAGAAAATTATGGCCAAATAATCTGTAGAACAAAAACGCTAGCTAACATTCATGTATCGAATATGAAATACATGGAGATATTGAATAGTTTTAAAGCTCAAAAGTCCATTTAACAATACAAAATTGGAACAGAACAAACATGGACAACAAAAAATCAGAAGTGGGATCAGGGTTCCCTGCCGACTGAACACCCCCTCGTGTGCTTCTTGTCATGATGTCGAAAAGCGGAAGAATCCGTCGACAACTGTGTGTAAATAATTGCCTAACAATTAGAATGACAATGATAAATAGTATTTGCTGACAAGGTCATTGTATGGACAAAAGTACGTACGAAATGATAACTTCAAATGAGACTGTGCTGATTTTCTTGTTCCATCAGCTTGTTTGTCAATAATTTACCTTGATTAAGAAATTGTTCATACTTAGAGCATGCTCTTGCCTATCAAATCAACTAAGATATTTATACAGGTGATGAAGGTATATTGCTGCATAAGTAGGGGAAGTTGACGATTAAAAAGTTAAAGTCATCACGTTAATCTTAAATCTTTGTAGTAAGATTAACATTAATGATTTTTAAGCAAAACATCGAAATATGAAACGGATATGTCAGACTCTGTGGTATCTTTTATTTCAAGCTCACCGGGATATATTGTTTCAACAAAAGAATGGAAATTGTTTAATGACAATACGTCTTCGATATATATCTAAAAGTCGAGTTGAAGGCCACAGCAAAGTTTTTTTTTCGCATATGATATTTTGAACAAATCATGCTTCATATGAATACAAAAAAAGATCTGCTAATAATACGGCGTAATTGGTACCCATGGGAAATCCACATAGATTGTAATAAGACCAGACCTTGGGGTCTTT